AGATATAAAGTGGGGTCGTGAATATACGGACACACATTTATAAACTTTGAGAAATACACACTCAAGAGTCAAAACATTATGACCACCTGTCAATAACGAGTTGGCCCACCTTTGGCGCGCAACACAGCTTCAACCCGCTTTGGCATGGATTAATACCACCACTTAATACCAGTTAAATACCACTCCCACCTGATCACGTGCCTTCCACGTCATCCAGGCGAGTTCATTGCAAAATGTAGGTGTGGTCATAATGTTTTGGCTCTTGAATGTATATAGGATCATTACTTTAAAGAATGTCATAAATTTCCTTAAACTGAAAGCCAACAAAACGAAAACTAAGTCAGTCTATATATATCAACTGTGGTTCTGTAGTGCATTTATCTGCATGCAGAGGCTGCCCTATATTTCTGGATCAAATCCTAGTGCGGCAACTATTATAAACTCTAGAAGAGCCAGTTAGCAACCGACTGCAACCCGCCAAGTTTCCGCGAATTTCAGTAGCCCAAAGTGTGCACAAGATGACCGTAGAGCGACAAACCGCACCGCGAATTTCAGCTTTACCAATGCCCTTTGAGACCTCATATACTCCTATCAGCTGCTCTACCCATCAGGAACGAACAATAACTGTCAATAAGTATTAATGTCCCTGGAATTTTATTTATAATGAAAGAATTCATCTCCCTCTTGTCTGATACTAATTCAGGAATTATATCTCTAACCCAAAAACTAAAAAATACCCCAAATCCTATAGATAAACTTCAAACTTCCATTAATTGTTTGACTCAAAGTACCTCCTTCACTAATTAATTATTTTTTAATTTTCAATTATTTAATTAATTAATTTCATTTATATTTATAAAATTATATTTAAAAAATGTGTAGCATAATATTTACAATGCGATTGACTTAAAGCAAATTACCGTCTACTTCAAGACAAAAGTACGTAGCTGCTACCAGCCAAGGTACTTTGTTCAACCACTCGGAGCATATATATATATATATTGGTATATTGGTAAACTATATATATATATATATATATATACATATACACTGAAGTGACAAAAGTCATGGGATACCTCTTAATATCGTGTCGGCCCTCCTTTCGCCCGGCGAAGTGCAGCAACTCGACGTGGCATGGACTCAACAAGTCGTTGGAAGTCTTCTGCAGAAATATTCAGCCATGCTGTCTCGATAGACGTCCATAATTGTGAAAGCGTTGATGGTGCAGGATTTTGGGCACGAACAGACCTCTCGATGATGTCCCATAAATGCTCGATGGGATTCATTTCGGGCGATCATTCATTCGGGCGATCATTTGGCCAGATCATTCGTTGGAATTGTCCAGAATGTTCTTCAAGCCAATCGCGAACAGTTGTGGCCCGGTGACATGGCGCATTGTCATCCATAAAAATCCCATCGTTGTTTGGGTACATGAAGTCCATGAATGGCTGCAAGTGATCTCCAAGTAGCTGAACATAAGCATTTCCAGTCAATGTTCGGTCCAGTCGCACCAGAGGACCAAGTCCATGCCATGAAAAAACAGCCCACACCATTACGGAGCCACCACCAGCTTGAACAGTGCCTTGCTGACAGTTTGGGTCCATGGCTTCGTGGGGTCTGCGCCACACTCGAACCCTATCATCAGCTCTTACCAACTGAAATCGTGACTCATCGGACCAGGCCACGGTTTTCCATTCATCTAGGGACCAACACGTGCCCACGAGAGTCGCTGCAAGCGATGTCTTTCTGTCAGTAAAGGCACTCGAGTCGGTCTTCTGCTGGAATAGCCCAAGAAAGCCAAATTTCTCCGCACAGTTCTAACAGACAAGTCCCTTGTACGTCCCACATTGATTTCTGCGGTTATTTGACGCAGTGTTGCTTGTCTGTTAGAATTTACGACTCTTTGCAGACGTCGCCGGTCTCGGTCGTTAAGTGCAGGTGGTCGACCACTGCGCTGTCCATGGTGGGATGTTATGCCTGAAATTTCATACTCTCGGCACACTCTTGACACAGTGGATCTGGGAATGTTGAATTCCCTAACGATTTCTGAAATGGCATGACCCATGCGTCTAGCTCTAACTAACATTCCGCGTTCAAAGTCTGTTAATTCCCGTCGTGCGGTCATCATCACGTCAAAACCTCTTCACATGAATAACTTGAACAGAAATGAAAGCTCTGCGAAAGCACTGCGCATTTATATCTGTTCTACGCGATGCTACTGCCATCTGAAAATTTGCATATTGCTATCCCATGACTTTTGTCACTTCAGTGTATACATATATATATATATATATATATATATATATATATATATATATATATATATATATATATACATATATATATAGTTTACCAATTAAGTATACTTGAACAGCTCTACTAAAGTGCGTTAGAATAAAGGACCTTGCAATCACGGAGGGTTTTTAAAAAAGAAAAAGGACTTTCATTTGCTTGTAGTATAGAAGAAAATCCAAAAAACTTATTTTTGACCGCTTGACTATTGATGAGAAATACTAATTAAGCTGCCACAATCACCATTGAATCTTTTTGTTTTTGAAAATAGGGGATATAATGAACGTTACCTCATCATTCTCATTAGTGGCGCAACAGCCCCATGGTGGACCAAGGCCGTCTGCCCATTAGCAGATTTCGAGACAATAGATGTCTTTTTCTTTTTATGGGATAGGGTTGTCAGCCCGACGCTGTACAGTCATATTAGACCAGGACCTACGATTTAAAATGGACAATACAGAATCATCCATGGTACCACAAGTACTTGACCCCAAACCTTGGGCACAGAGCGCTAGTCACACGGCCATCAGGCCAAATGCACGTTACCAGTGAATATAAATTTGAATCATACACAATAGCTGTTCAACTTACTACTGGACCAAGGGTAGAGAGATTATTTAGACTGAGACAAAAAGATACGAGTGTAATAAAATTTTTATCATTCCTACTTTTTCGGCAGGCATATTATTACTAACTGATTTTTATACTTCTTTGTATAATGCCTCATTTTAAAGTTGTAAAAGTTTTTTTTTTAATGCCTCATTTTAAAGTTGTAAAAGTGTGTTTTTTTAATGCCTCATTTTAAAGTTGTAAAAGTGTGTTTTTTTAATGCCTCATTTCAAAGTTGTAAAAGTGTGTTTTTTTAATGCCTCATTTCAAAGTTGTAAAAGTGTGTTTTTTTAATGCCTCATTTCAAAGTTGTAAAAGTGTGTTTTTTTAATGCCTCATTTCAAAATTGTAAAAGCGGTTTTTTTTAATGCCTCATTTTAAAGTTGTAAAAGTGTTTTTTTTAATGCCTCATTTTAAAGTTGTAAAAGTGTGTTTTTTTAATGCCTCATTTTAAAGTTGTAAAAGTGTTTTTTTAATGCCTCATTTTAAAGTTGTAAAAGTGTTTTTTTTAATGCCTCATTTTAAAGTTGTAAAAGTGTTTTTTTAATGCCTCATTTTAAAGTTGTAAAAGTGTGTTTTTTAATGCCTCATTTTAAAGTTGTAAAAAGTGTGTTTTTTAATGCCTCATTTTAAAGTTGTAAAAGTGTGTTTTTTTAATGCCTCATTTTAAAGTTGTAAAAGTGTGTTTTTTTAATGCCTCATTTTAAAGTTGTAAAAGTGTGTTTTTTTAATGCCTCATTTTAAAATTGTAAAAGTGTGTTTTTTAATGCCTCATTTCAAAGTTGTAAGAGTGTTTTTTTAATGCCTCATTTTAAAGTTGTAAAAGTGTGCTTTTATGCCAAATTTGAAACATATAATAATTTTTTCGTAGAACATAAATAGACTTCCATAATGTGTTGTGAATATCAAGCATATGCAAAACAACATTGCGGGTTTGAGAGGCTGATTCACCTAGATGCTAATATCTTAGTGGAAGTTTCAGTTTCTAGGACCGGTTTGTGCATCGATTTATTTGAATTTATTTATTTATTTTTTCGTTACTACAATCGAGAAAATACGGTATATTTCAACCTTGAATTTTATGGAAGTTGTTTAACATAATTTTTAGATTGATTTTTATGATCTTTCTTGGAAAGGAACACATATATGTAAAATTTTTCTCGAACGATATAGTCTAATCTATTTATCCTAATTTTTTTATTTCTTTATAAGTGAGAACGCTTTTTAGTTTTATCCCCATTTGCAAGTAAATGTTGAAAAATCAAACTGCAAACGCTGTAATAACGCAGATAGAGAAAATTAAGAAAATTGACTAACATCAAAATGGAAAAGTGACTTGAATTTGTGATAGGGACAAAAAGTTGTATCAAGTTCTTGAGACGGAACTACTGTCTATTGTCATAGAAGCAACAATCTTAGCTGGCTGTGCCAATGAAGAAACTTTCATTCCCAGGATACTTTTGATGACATCTTATAATGCTGTTCAAATTCAAAAGGTTACAATTCTCGATACATTTTGCTTTTGCTATGGCTATAAAGAAAAATCAAGTTACAATCACGTGAAATTACAGGAATTGATTTGAGATCGGATCTCTTTAGCCATGATCAGTTATACGTGAAAATGTCTAGAGTTGGCATGAACAAAATTTATACGTGTTTGCAAGCGACTGGAAAACAAGGAATTTTGTTTACTATTAGGCAGTAATCGATAAATCATGTAATTCTTGCTAATTAAAATTAATTTAATGAAAATACAATAAATGAAATTATTGCATCTTGAATCGAAACACTTTCGAATACACACACATATATATGTTGTTGTTGTTTCTTATCCCACTTGGCTGGCCAAGCCCACGAGCCCGTACGTACTCATGATTGAAGGGGAAGGAAGCAGCTTCTGTTGTGATGGAGCACCCGTAGGTAGAAGCCTGACTTTGGCTCCGTGACGCTCTTACAGTCATGAGAGACCGGAACCTACGGCTTAAAGTGGATTCCAAACCACTACAAACATCCATGGCACCGCCGGGATTCGAACCCGAAACCTGTGGCACCGAGCACCAGAGCGCTAGACACTCGGCCATTCAGGTCCCAAATTTGCCAACGGCACGCGGTGTTCCCAGGTAGTCACCCACCCAAGTACTGACCGCGCCCAATGATGCTTGACTTCGGTGATCTAACGAGAACCGGTATATTCAGCATGGTACGGCCGTTGGCATATATATATATATATATATATATATATATATATGTTGTTTCTTATATATATATATATATATATATATATATATATATATATATATATATATATATATATATATATATATATATATATATATATATATATATATATATTGATGACATTCCTGCAAGCAATGAAAAAAGAGGCTTATCTCTTTGATATAAAGAAATAGATTATTTAATATGCTAAGTCTTTATTCACACGATTTGTGTTAAGAAAGATCTCTTTGATATAAATTTTTTCTGCAGCCGGGCAACTACGTGATATATGTGCTAGTTGTGACATATGTGATTCTAAAATTGCTATAAAATTGCTAAAATATCGCCAACTCAGTGATGTTGGCGAGAGAATTTCAATGCAATTCAAAACTGCACATTTTCATAACACTTTTCCTTGTTACCGAAGGCTTCAGGTTCGAATCCTGGCGGTGGCATGGATGTTTGTTGGTGGTTCGGAATCCACGTTAAACTGTAGGTCCCGATCTGTTTAGCCCAAAGTGTGCACAAAATGACCGTACAGCAACAAACCAAACCTCTGAAACCTTTTCCTTGTGTAATTCAGGTTTTCCATCGCAAAATCTTCTTCCGCTTAAAGTAAAATAATTGGACTAAAATAAATTAAATTCATGTAAGATTTATTCAAACGATTTTCGCTTATTTAATATGGTAAGTCTTTATGATCACATTATTTGTGTTCAATAAAGGAATATATCTTCTACAGTCATTTAAAGTGCAGTAATAGAAGTAACCAATTACAGATAAACTATATTATTATGCGCATTATTGACATTATTTGCTCATTACTTAAAGTATCTGCATAATCATCTGCATTATTAAAACCATTTGCACATTATTAAAAGTATCTACTCAATCATCAGTAGTACTGAATCATTTGCATTGGAGGAAATAATGGTTTCGAAAAGAATATCAATGAGCTTATTATGTAGAATCAAAAATTTGCTGATAAATATTCAACTTAAGCTTAAAAAAACTCAACCATGTTGAAGTTCACCTGCAAGGAGGAAAATAAAAGATTATGGTATAAATTAAATCTCGTTTTCTGTGGAAGATTAATGGGTAGATTACTTTATTTTATTTAAAAAATGGCGTTGGTCAATAATTTAGTCGTTAAATTCTTTGACCGCTGACTTTTTCAATAGTTTATATATATATATATTATCTTTACATATATAATTCTTCTGTACGTGTGGTCACTGAACTTCTCCTAAATGGCTAGATCGATTTCGACGAAATTTTTTTGTGTGTGTTTGAGTGGGTCCGTGGAGGGTTTAGATTTACAACTGGGCCCGGTAGGTGGTACTGCAATCGATATAATTTTTCTGTACGTGTGTTTGTCACTGAACTCTTCCTAAACGGCTTGACCAATTTTGATGAAATTTTTTGTGTATGTTTGAGTTGTCCCTGGATGGTTTAGATTTAGATGGTAAGTGTACTGGAAGGCGGCGATGTAACCGATATATCCTTATATAAATTTTTCTGTACATGTGTTTGTCACTGAACTCCTCCTAAACGGCTTGGCCGATTTTGATGGAATTTGTGTGTGTTCGACAAAATATTAGAACCTTAGAACATTTAACTTGTTTTTAGCTGTCTTTAAGGCTTTTTGATCGTTTTTGTTAAGAATGTCTGATCTTTACCCTTTGTAATCTTGATTTGTTTATATGTTCTTTTGTTTCTACAGTAAATGGCTTAATTTGTATGGATTGAGTTCCAATAAAGCCATAGGTAACAACAACAAAATATATCAGAGATTTTCAAACTTTTTCCTTCGGCGTATACTCTACTAATAAAAAATCTAAAGAGAGTTTATACGAAAACAATTCCTTGGTATACAAATGAATGTAATTTTATCATATTTTAAATATATAGTTACCTAAGAGCTGGATATATTTGCTTAATTTAACATAAATATTTAAAAAAATTAATGTGCAGTATGTAAAAAGTTCTTCAATGTTTTTCAAAATTGACTTTTTTTATATAAACGTTAATGTTGTTAAGTATACATATGTAGTACAAAAAAAAAGAGCCATTTATAGCCATTTTTGAGAGTGTTAAAAAATTATGTCCTAATCTCTCATTAGAAATTCATTAAAGGATTTTTCTGAAAATCAAAGTTTTAAACCTGCGTCTCTCATATCATCTAATTCTTCTTCAAAATTTAATGAGTCAGGTGGAAAATTACAGTCCAGTTTGATCCAGTAACCCCTTAAAAATATGAACGTAATTAGCGATTAATTAAAATATTTCAATTCAAAAATTTTGGTTATTATTTGCATAGTGTTGCCTTAGTGGTTTTGAGCAAACTTCTGATACTTTCACCTAGATGAATTATTTACATAATCTGCAGATATCTATATATAATCAGCATATGCAGATATAATCTGCAGATACATGCTGCAGTTGCACTGCAGTATATTTTCTGCGAGCCCAAATTTTGTCACATCATCCCATACGGAGTTGTGATCCACCTTTTGAAATCTGGGTGTCATATGAATACTGGTTTATGCCATAAATACAACATACTATAATAGTTTCCAAACTTCAGTGCAACTGCAAACTACAACATGCAGTATATCCCTGGAATTTTACTTTTTTAAACTAGCAAACAGAAAGATATTGCAAAATTGTGAGATCTTTTATGTATCAGGGCAATTTAGTTCCTGGACAATTAAGATATGCCTGTTGTCTTGATTCAGTGTTGTCTATGATACAAACTAGATTATTTCACAAAATAAAAACGCGATGTTTAACTGTCATATTTATTGAAAAACTGTCATATTTATTTGAAATTGCAAAGACAACACTGAGCAACTGTAACACATAACACACAAAACACAATTATATAACAAATATTTACAAAATCATCCTAAATGTCAGTTCGTTTAAAGATGGTGCTTACCCTCTGTACCCTCCATACTTCCTGGAACTCTTCACTCGACTGTCCACTCCCTTTTATTCTCTTTCCAAGGAGAAACGTGGGACAAGAAAAACGTGAAAAACAAAGGTCTGACGTAAGGGTCAATCCGTTGTTGAAAGAAGAATATATTAACTTTGATTTCCAGATTATAATTGTGGGAATGCATGGCGGATGCTTATGGCATCTACACACCCACCTACGTTTTAAAAAAAAAGTAAATACATTGGTGGAAAATATAATTCTTCATAAACGAATTTTGAGGGCATGTTAACACATCTGAGAGTGACATCTATTAAAATTTTGAGCTAGAAGAATAAAAGAGACGCTAGTAACACAACGATGAATATGAAAATCTCCTTTGCTTTAAATACGAGCAATTTAAGTAATTATTTATCTTTCGGATTGGGCTTTGTGTTCTAGATTTGAGCCAACAATGCCTTTAAGATGAAAGAAGCAGTATCAGCAGCTTGCTGAGTCAGAATGGAGTCGTGTGATAGGGCCACGAGAAGGTGAGTTTTCTTTTGGTGATATTGCAGAAAGACTTGGCACAGTTGTATTCACTGTGCTGTTGGCATCAGTGGTCACGGGAATGTAAAAACTCAAGAAGACCGGCATCTGGTTACTGCATTCAACGCATGTGTGTAGCATAAAAATTCAAACTTCTGTTGGCACTAGAGTGACATAGCGAGTGATAACGCATTGATTACTTGTCGGACAGTTCCGAGCCATCTGCGACATCACTTGTGACAAACCGAAGCTTATTGGAGGGCAGAGTAGAGATCTGTTATGTTTTCAGATGAAAGCCGTTACTGTCTTGATGCCAGTAATGAACATATGTTGGTAAGAAGGGGGTCAGAGTGCTTGCAGCCAATTTGTGTCATAGACAAACTGAACTTACTTCTACTTCTACTTCATTGTCGCAAAAGCCCCATGGTGAGCCAAGGCCGTCTGCCTACTGGCAGATTTCGAGGCAGGAGCTGTTTTCTTTTTACGGGGTAGAGTTGCCACGCCCAAGTTGGCACTCCAGTTATTTTCCCATACGCCCAACGCTCTACAGTCATATTAGACGAAGACCTGCGGTTTAAAGTGCATACCAAACTATTATAAATATTCATGGCACTGAGCACCAAAGAGCTAGTCACTCGGCCACCAGGCCTTCACATTGGAACTACACCAGGAGTTATGGTCTGGAGAGCAATTTCCTACTACTGTTGTCATTATTCCACGCAATTTGACAGAACCTTTGTACGTCAGACTGGTGACTGAATTTATTGTTCTTCCAATTTTTGATCACTACACCAAGGGATGTTTTTTAATAGGGTAAAGCTCGCCCCCATACCACTGCTGTCACCCAACCTGTTATACAGAGAGACGACATGCTAGCTTAAGGCTCTTTCTTACCGAGGCGTGAGGCGGCGACGCTTCACGCGGTAGGGAAGAAAATTTTTTCTACCCGTTTACACCGAAGCGGCAGAAATCGCTTTACGCCTGGTGAAGTTCCAGTTACTTCTACTAGATCACAGATCTACTATTGGCTCAATCCAAGTCACATTACGCGGCAAGCATTTGAGAGTTGAAAGTTGGTCAACTCGAAGCGGTGGATTTCACCCGTTTCAGGCAAACGTGGTGAGGCTAGTGATTGCTCAGCACTTCAAGCTTCAACGCCTCATGCCTCGGTGGGAACAAGCCTTTAGCTGCAAGATCATGAGATAAGAAGCATATTGGATATTGTTGGACGATAAGTCCAGCGCCATCGACAAACAACATTGACCACTAAGGAATTTACTCACCAAGTAGAACTGGTATGGAACTCCATCCCACAGAATAGCATACAGCGTCTGTACAATACAATCAGGGCCGGATTTTTCTATAGGCTAACTAGGCTTCAGCTTAGGGCTTTAAGATCAAGAGGGGCCTACATTCAAATTGTTAGCAAAATTAGAATGACACTATTCTAAAAACAGTAAACACTAAAACACTGAATCGAAAGTAAGGAGAAATTCTACACATATGACTAATAAACAAACATAAGAAT